GAAAGGCCCCACGTCCCGTTCCCTGTCTCCCCTCTCTCAGGTCCCTGCCCACATGAAGTTGCATGAAACCGGCGTCCTGGGCTACTCCCGCGTGGCGGTGCCCCCCGACCGCCAGGGCCGGCTGTACAAGAAGAGCGAACGCAGCAGCACCTACCAGCGCCGCTGGTGCGAACTGCGAGGGAACTTGCTCTTCTACTGGGAGCGGCAGGGGGACCGGGAGCCGCTGGGGCTGATCCTGCTGGAGGGCTGCACGGTGGAGCTACAGGAATCCGCCACAGAGCCTTTCACCTTTGAAATCTCCTACTGGTCGGGCCACCGAGCTTACAAGATGGCTGCCGAAGACCAGGCCTCCATGGAGGGCTGGGTACGGGCTCTGAGCACGGCCAGCTTTGACTACCTGCGGGCTCTGGTGACTGAGCTAGAGGGACAGTACCGGGCCAATGGGGTTGCCCCGCCAAAGGAATGGGCTGTTCAGCACCGCCCAGTGGTGTCAGCGGTGGGATTGCCAGACTTTGAGGGGCTGCACCAGCAGTTTGGGAAGGAGATTGTGAAGCTGCGGGCGAAGTGGAAGGAGGCCAGGGCAGAAGGGACCCAGCCAACACAGGGAGACCTGATTGATTTGGGGTAGGACGGGAGCAGGGAAAGGAGAAGAGCCAGAGGGGGTAGGGGAGTCCTATTCCATGCCATCCAATGCAGGAGAAACATGCAGTGTGGGGGACCCAGGGTGGGCTAGCAGGGGCTGCAAGCTCAGCTCAAGGGACAGACAGAATGGGAAGGGGCCGTGTCTGGCTTGGATGGACTAGAAACCCTCCCCCCCGGGTTAAGGAGGCAGAGATGCTCCCTCTGCCTTGCGGTTCTTCGGGAAGTGGGGACCTTTCAAGGCCAAACCTTTGCACTGAGGCGATGCTTTTCCAATAATAAACGTGTTCTGTCGGGGCCTGGGCTCAGCCATGTGAATTCACTGTTTGGTCACCTCTGGCCAGCAGTGGGGGGCGCTGAGTGCAGGGGGCAGGGCAACGGCTGGGGCGGGGGAGCTCCTGGCTACTCCAACGTCCTGCCTGCCCGGTGAGAGCTCCCCCCACTGCCGCACTGGGCTCAACTCGTGGGTCTGAGAAATCCCCATTCATTCAGCCAAAGGAAGCTCTCGGGCCACAGGGACAGGCAAAGCAGGAAACGCTCCATCAGGGCCCTGCCTGCGGCTCTGACCGCCTTCAAGATCAGCCAGGCTCCTGCTGCCCTCACCCAACCTCCACTGGCGCAGCACACACCGTCCAGGCTTCGCCCCTCCAGCATGCAGAGCCTGGTCCCCCATGGCCACTGCTCCGCCACTAACCCCAGTGAGCCGGGAATAGAGCCCAGGAGTCCTGGCTCTCACTAGCCTCAGAGTGGCCCTCAGGGAACTGAGGCTCATCTCAGGCCAGTGCCCCATACCCCCAAGACCAGAACCCAGTGGTGTGGATACTGGGGGTCTCCATTTCCTGGCAGGCTGCGTGATTCACCCTGTGGTGGGACAAGGGGGTGAGTCTGCAGAGACCCCCTACCCCAGCCTGCCTCTACTAGCAGTGGTACCTGGCAACCGCTGAGCCTGCACTGGCAGGAAGCTGGCCCATTCTGACCCGCTGGAAAGCAAAGCTTGGGGCTGGGGCCCCTACCCCTGGGGCTGGGGCCCCTACCCCTGGGGCTGGGGCCCCTACCCCTGGGGCAGAGACCTAGGGGCTGGGGCTGGCTGGAATATCCTGCTTTCTACGCTGATCCAGACTGGCAGACGTCCCTGAAGGGAGCTCGCAGTGTGGAACGGGTGCTGACAGCTCTGAGGCAGGGCCCAGAGGGAGGACCCTAGGAACTCCGGGCTGCTCCAGAGCACAAAGCCTATTCATCTGGGACACCCTCACCCCTTTCAAGGGGCAGAGACCCCCCCCCAGACCAAGGACTCAAAGGCCCTCAACCCAGCGATCTTCAGAGACGCAGCACCCCAACCCATGTTCCCTCTCATCCCCCCGGGCGGAATAGGTGTTCTCTGCACTGAGACCTGTGAAACGTGCACCACCAGGAGAAGCAGGCTGCCGGCCATGGGTGCTCTGCTAATCCGCTGGGCAGCATCTGAAACCCTCCTGGGTGGCCTCCCACGCACCCAGCCACTGAGCAGCAAAGAGCCACGCTCCCCTCCCCGAGGGTTCTCAGATCTAAAGGCCAGTGGCCTTGGAAGAACAGCCCCCGACTGATGCTTCTCAGAGACCTGCAGCCCGGAGCCCCTGGAAGAGCCAGACTAGCCCCATAGTACTAGAGATGCAGCCGTGAGAGTCTGAAACACCAGCCAGGGCTGTGCGGCACTTTACAGACTAACAAGATGGTTTATTAGGTGACGCCTGCATCCTGCTTCAAAGACATTAACACCAGACTTGAAAGAGAAACCTCGGAACTGTCATTCATGCTTCAATTCGACACTTTACGCTGGGGTCTTAACAAAGACATTAATTATCTTACCCATTCCAAAGAGCTTCCCCAATTATCACCTCCAATAGCATTAGCTCACAGACATTTACCCCTCTCCCCCCCCCTCTGAAATTCGATTTGTCCTTTTTATGCGTGTTCACTTTGTTTTGGTTGTATCCCTTTGGGATATGTGGTCGTGCTTATTTTCTTCCACAATTTGATCTGAGGAAGTGGGTCTGGCCCAGGAAAGCTCATCCCCTAATAAACCATCTTGTTAGTCTTTACAGTGCTCCACAGTCCTGTTTTTTGAGACTAGCCAAAGGCGTTCAAATGGCACTCAGAACCAACGTCCCTCCAAGCCCTAGAGCCCAAGGAGAGCCATCGTGACCCCCACCAGAGCCATCGTGACCCCCAACCCAACAATGGTCCTCACCGGCCTGGGCGAGCCACGGCCCCCAACCCAACCGCGGCCCCAAGAACAGCGCCGGCTCCTCCCCAGTTTGCAATCCTTTCTTTGTTAACCTTTTTAAACAAAGCGACAACATAAAATCTCCAAGAATGAGGCACAAATAACAGAAGGGGAGAGGGCCGGAGAAGGAAGGGTTAAGAGACAAGGTGTGAAATGTAAACATCCGGATTCTGCTCTTCCTGCCCGGGGTGGGGGGTGGCATGAAAAGGGGGGAGCTCCCAAGAGAGGCGAGGGATCGGAAAAGGGGGCTGGATCTCTGGATTCCAGTGTCTGTCCCATTAAATAAGACCTCGTGGCCAAACCCAAACGTCTGTATACATACTTACAATACTGAGACATATATATAATATATGTGTTATCAAGAGACACGGCTGTACAACGGGGGCAGCGAGCGCCATGGTTTGTGGGGGAGGTGCACGGTGGGAATGAGGTTTGGCGAGAGGCCACCAGCAGTAACAGCGTCTCTTGCTCCAAGGCGCTACCCTACCAAGTTAAGTTAAAGCCGTGTCTCCAACGAAGGGAAACTGAGGCACAGAGGGGGGGAAGGAGTGACTTTGTTCAAGTATGTGGGCAGGGAGTAGCAAAGCTGGAGAGAGCCGGGGAGTGCTGGCTCCCAGCCTCCCTTGCTCTAACTACTAGACCCCACTGCCCTCCTAGAGCCAGGGAGAGGACCCCAGAGTCCTGGTGCCTATCGCCCAGCCAGAGAGCCACCGGGGGGGGGGCCCTCTGCTGGGTGCACAGCGTACCGCCTTCAGAGACAGGCCTGTTACTGGAGGGGGGACCTTGCTTTTCAGGGGGTGGGGGAAGTGTCACAAGGGGAAGGCAGGCAGGGAACCGACATACAAGGGCGTGTCCTGGAGGGTTCAGTTGCCTGTGAGAAGCCAGGGGGCGCAGGGCTTCCTCGGGCCCCCACCCAGGCTGGGCCTAGTGGTC